TATGGTACAGATAAGATCCTCCCTAATGAATTGATTAACGTACCTCCTACTCCCTTATATAACGTAGATGATTTTGTTCAAGTGAAGCGTAGACAAATGCAACTAGTATTCAAGAAAATACGAGAACAACTGTCCAAAGCAACAGCCGAGTTCACTCTAGCAAGGAATGCACGAGCTAAACCCAGTAAAATAACTATTGGATCTGTAGTAATGATACTTAACCAACACAGGTCTGGTCCTATGTACAAGTTAACTAAGAAATTTTTGGGTCCATATAAGGTAATCGAGCTTATTAAAGGTAACAAATACAGACTTAAGAACTTGTTAACAGGAGAGTATATAAATGAACATTTAGACCACATGAAGTTAGCTAAAATGACTGTTGACGAGACTGATGAGGAAGATGACAATGAACTTACCCAGACAGATACTCCTACTCGGACACCACCTTCTGTGGTTGACAGACCACTTGATGTTCAGCAACCCCATACTAGCAATTATAATCTTAGATCTAGACCTCTCGTTTCAACCGTGCACTCACCACATGTCCATTGGCTAGATGTTAACGAGGATATCTCTCAAGATGATAGTTTGTCGCATGAAGTTTCATCTGTTCCGGACCTTCAGTCAGAGCCAGAGTTGTATAGTGCTCTGGATGAGCTAGGTGTAGATATCCGCAGAATTTATAATTGAATGCACTCTGCAGTTATTCTGTTTGTTTTGAAAAAAAAAAAAAAAAAAAAAAACTCATTTGCAGTATTTCTACCACATGTGTCTTATTATTACCATTATATATAATGTATAGTTTTTCTCAACTTTATTTGGTTATAAATTAGATGCCATTGTTAAGTCTACTACCATTTGTATTTTTACAGTGCTTGTCATAGGAGTTATTATTGTTCTAGCAACCACATTGAGGCCAGTGAATCCTGACTGCTATCACGCAGATGTTAGTCTTCTTGATCCAGGTCTTGTATATGCTTGTAAATATATTGCACATTATATATATTGTACATTGGTCTTGTAAATATATTGTATTATTTCAGAAAAAAAAAAAAGAAAAAAAAAAAAAAAAAAAATCATTATCTATCTTGAAATTCAATTGTGGTTGTTAGGTCAGAACTTTGTTCCATTAATGTAATAATTGTTTAATTTTGTATGGTTTTCAAGCACATGCCATTGACACATGTTAATAATTTTGTTTAGGCAATACCTTGAGTTGTATTGTTCATATCTGATCAGTAGACATACACATGTTCTTAATACTCTGGTTTAATCAAAGCATTGTTACCATGATTTTCACCTATTATGATGATTTTTTTTTTTTGGTGCATATATGCCGAGTTGTTAGTATTACGCACACCTGATCTTCTTTCAATGTTTTATTATGCAAATTTCACATGTAAGCCATTATTGAATGCCACCGAGGTCCTTTCAGTATCATTGTAACTATATAGCTAGCCAGAGCTTGTCGACAAGGGACGTCGACTTGGTAGCGTGTCCGAGCGGTGTTATACTCAAAATTCTGTCAGTTGAAATGTAACCAATCACAGGCAAGTAGGCCTCTGACGTCATGCCAGACAGAGGAGCATCAAGCATGCTCCCAGCAGCCGCAGTTATCCTCACAGACTCAGAGTAGAAGGACCTCGGCTAGGCAGATATATACCTTGCTATCTCAGTCAATAAATATATACAGAAGCGACTACTGTGTCTACCTTCTACCCGAACAAGGCAAACGAATACTTGTGTTATGGTTGCTAGTGTTGTGGTTGATAGAGTTGTGCTTGCTAGTACCCACTCTTGAAACAAACAAGGGACCCCACCTCTACCACGTTATGCGGTAATTGGTTCCACAAATCAACAACCGCTACCGAACCAGTATTTACCGAGGTCTTTCCTAAATCTAAATTCATCCAATTTTTACCAATACTGTTTCGTGTTCTTCTTCTTCTTCTTGAAAGTAGGTGCAGTTTGCATGAAGGGTTTGTCCTCCCGATGACTTCACTAATACAGATGTTGGGAGACACGTTTATGGTGAGAATGATAAGTTTCAAAAGTGCTTGAAGCGTTGTACCATAGAGGAGCCGCGACTAAAACAGAGGTGTATGTGAGAAGGAGACTTCCTGCACCATAGGGTGGCATGTTGCGTTTACGGCGTCGTTAGTTGATCTACAAGCACATCATGGAGTATACCACAATGAGCTGGTACCTATTGGATAGAAAGTACAAAACACGGAACAGAAACAAATTTAAGACACACAACCATATGCCTGACGAGCCTACAGCAGACACAACAATCGGGAGACGAGAGCAAGCAATGCCACGCCTACAAATACTTCTCCGGAAAGTTCACCACCAGAAACCGGAGACAGTACCCCTCCCAAAGACACTCCATATCAGGATGGACAGGCCCTCGAGGACGCGCCATGAATTCTGGAACCTCAGACATAAAAACACGCACATGAGGCACTCAAATAATAGACGGGCACAAATTAATCGTCAACACCCGATCCCATTGTAAGGGCGTCTCGCTAGTTCGTATTTCGTCGAAAACATCCACACCACCAGGCTGGTCATCCTGGTCAACCACGCCAGACACGTCTGCAGCGGGCTGCCCCACAGGAGTAGGCACATCAGGGGGCAACACCACAAGAGACCACATCCGGAACAACAGTCACAGGGTCGGACACCGGCACAGCATCCCCATGTCGAACAGCCTTCCTCAGGACCACTACAAGGCCCCAGCCCACATCACCAGCCGCACCATCCACCACAGGAGGAGGTACCATCCCCCACTGCTGGAAACCCCCTGCAGGAGAAGAAACAGAAGTTAACATAGAGACATCGTCATCAGCAGCAGCAACAGGCACGTGAACCTCCGCCGCCACCCCAGGGACCACCTCACCAACACTTGCAGACTCTCAAGTGTCAAAACCACCCACATCGGCCCAGACAGAAGATGAGGAATGCCGCGAACGCTTGGGCCCCGGCCGCACATCTTCAGAGCTGGAGGGGGAACCAGAAGCACAGGAAATGCAAGGGGGAGGGGGCGCACTTTCGCTTGGCGCAAGACGTCAGCAGCTTCGACGACAGGGGAGACCGGTTCCACCACAGCAGGAGATACCGCCTCCATATCACCTCCCAGCACATGCAAGACAAGCATCGGGGCCGAAGAAACAGGACCTGCAGGGCAAGACTTGTTTCATGTTCAGTCTTGTGTTGATACTTTTAATACCATATTAATATCTCCTTTGTTATGCCCATTCATCCACTTGTAAACCTCTATTATGTCACCCCTAACTCTTCGCCTTTCCAGGGAATGTAATTTTAGCATTGTCAATCTTCATATGTCAGGTTTCTAATTTGTGAGATTAACTTTGTCATCCTACACTGGATGCGTTCTAGTAAATTTATATCCATTCTATACTACGGCGACTAAAACTGAACTGCATAATCTAAATAGGGCCTAACCAGAGCAAGATATAGTTGAAGAACCACATCAGGTGTCTTATTGGTCACGCTTCGATTAATATATCCCAGTGTCCTATTTGCCATATTACGAACATTTATGCATTGATTTTTTAATTTTAAATCCTTACTAATCATAACTCCCAGATCCCTTTCGCAATCCGACTTCACAATCTCAACACCACCTAGCTCGTATCTTGTAATTCTATCATCTTTACCTAGCATCAAAACTTTACATTTCTCAGCATTAAACAGCATCTGCCAATCTTTTGACCATTTCAAACCCCTATTTAGATCGTCTTGAAGTGACAGAGTCTTTTTCCGTGTTTATTTACCTCCCGATTTTTGTATCATCGGCAAATTTGCAAATATTGCTGCTCGAACCTGAAACTAAATCATTTACTATATATATTATGAATAACAGAGGTCCCAGGGCGTAACTTTGAGGCAGTAACTTTACTCGACTTTACACATCCCCTTAGGCGGTAATGAGTGAGAGATGGCCTTCCGCCCTTATTTACACATACCCTGAGGCGGTGATGATTGGAAGGAGGCCTCTCGCCCTTGTTAACACGTCCCCTGAGGCGGAGATATCTGAACGGTGGCCTTCCGCCACCGTTGTTTACACGTCCCATGAAGCGGCGATGAGTTTACACGTCCCCAGAGGCGGCCGTGTTGTCAAGGCTTCCCCGCCCTTGTATACTTGTCCCCTGAGACAGCTTTCTCGGCCTTGAATACTTGTCCCTTGAGGCACCTCTCCTGGCCTTGTTTATTTGTCCCCTGAGGCAGCTCTCTCGGCCTTGTTTACTTGTCCCCTGAGGCAGCTCTCTCGGCCTTGTTTACTTGTCCCCTGAAGCAGCTCTTCTGGCCTTGTTTACTTGTCCCCTGAGGCAGCTCTCTCGGCCTTGTTTACTTGTCCCCTGAAGCAGCTCTTCTGGCCTTGTTTACTTGTCCCCCTGAGGCAGCTCTCCCGTCCTTGTTTACTGGTCCCCTGAGGCAGCTCTTCCGGCCTTGTTTACTGGTCCACTGAGGCAGCTCTCCCGACCTTATTTACTGGTCCCCTGAGGCAGCACTCCCGGCCTTGTTTACTGGTCCCCTGAGGCAGCTCTCCCCGCCTTGTTTACTGATTCTCTGAGTCAGCTCTCCCCGCCTTGTTTACTTGTCCCCTGAGGCAGCTCTCCCTTCCTTGTTTACTGGTCCCCTGAGGCAGCTCTCCCGGCTTTGTTTACTGGTCCCCTGAGGCAGCTCTCCCGGCTTTGTTTACTGGTCCCCTGAGGCAGCTCTCCGGGCCTTGTTTACTTGTCTCCTGAGGCAGCTCTCCCGGCCTTGTTTACTGGTCCTCTGAGGCAGGTCTCCCGTCCTTGTTTACACACCACTATGCCGGGAATCTCATTATTCTAAAAGCCAGGACCTAACTTTATGACTGCAGGTGTTGCCAAACAACCGCCGCAGGCGACCAAGTTGAGCCAAACTTGCTTTTATGTCACAACTGAAACGAGGGTGAAGGTATATCCTTAAGTACTTCACAGTCGTTACCGAAGCCTGCTGGTATTACTGTGACTCCTGATGTTATTATTGCTACTACTGTTGTCACGACTAGTACTGTGGTCATGACTAGTGCAGTTGTCATGACTAGTGCTGTTGTCATGACTAGTGCAGTTGTCACTACTAGTACTGTGGTCATGACTAGTGCAGTTGTCATGACTAGTGCAGTTGCCATGACTAGTACTGTGGTCATGACTAGTGCTGTTGTCATGACTAGTGCAGTTGTCATGACTAGTGCAGTTGTCATGACTAGTGCTGTTGTCATGACTAGTGCAGTTGTCATGACTAGTGCTGTTGTCATGACTAGTGCAGTTGTCATGACTAGTGCTGTTGTCATGACTAGTGCAGTTGTCATGACTAGTGCAGTTGTCATGACTAGTGCTCTTGTCATGACTAGTGCTGTTGTCATGACTAGTGCTGTTGTCATGACTAGTGTAGTTGTCATGACTAGTGCTGTTGTCATGACTAGTGCAGTTGTCATGACTAGTGCTGTTGTCATGACTAGTGCTGTTGTCATGACTAGTGCAGTTGTCATGACTAGTGCTGTTGTCATGACTAGTGCAGTTGTCATGACTAGTGCAGTTGTCATGACTAGTGCTGTTGTCATGACTAGTGCAGTTGTCATGACTAGTGTTGTTGTCATGACTAGTGCAGTTGTCATGACTAGTGCAGTTGTCATGACTAGTGTAGTTGTCATGACTAGTACTGTTGTCATGACTAGTGCAGTTGTCATGACTAGTGCAGTTGTCATGACTAGTGCAGTTGTCATGACTAGTGCAGTTGTCATGACTAGTGCAGTTGTCATGACAAGTGCAGTTGTCATGACTAGTGCAGTTGTCATAAATAGTGCAGTTGTCATGACTAGTGCAGTTGTCATAAATAGTGCAGTTGTCATGACTAGTGCAGTTGTCATGACTAGTGCAGTTGTCATAAATAGTGCAGTTGTCATGACTAGTGCAGTTGTCATGACAAGTGCTGTTGTCATGACAAGTGCTGTTGTCATGACTAGTGCAGTTGTCATGACAAGTGCAGTTGTCATGACAAGTGCTGTTGTCATGACAAGTGCTGTTGTCATGACTAGTGCAGTTGTCATGACTAGTGCAGTTGTCATGACAAGTGCTGTTGTCATGACTAGTGCAGTTGTCATGACTAGTGCTGTTGTCATGACTAGTGCAGTTGTCATGACTAGTGCTGTTGTCATGACTAGTGCAGTTGTCATGACTAGTGCTGTTGTCATGACTAGTGCTGTTGTCATGACAAGTGCTGTTGTCATGACTAGTGCAGTTGTCATGACAAGTGCTGTTGTCACGACTAGTGCAGTTGTCATGACTAGTGCTGTTGTCATGACTAGTGCTGTTGTCATGACAAGTGCTGTTGTCATGACTAGTGCTGTTGTCATGACTAGTGCTGTTGTCATGACTAGTGCTGTTGTCATGACTAGTGCTGTTGTCATGACTAGTGCAGTTGTCATGACAAGTGCTGTTGTCATGACTAGTGCAGTTGTCATGACTAGTGCTGTTGTCATGACTAGTGCTGTTGTCATGACTAGTGCTGTTGTCATGACTAGTGCTGTTGTCATGACAAGTGCTGTTGTCATGACTAGTGCTGTTGTCATGACAAGTGCTGTTGTCATGACTAGTGCTGTTGTCATGACTAGTGCTGTTGTCATGACTAGTGCAGTTGTCATGACAAGTGCTGTTGTCATGACTAGTGCTGTTGTCATGACTAGTGCTCTTGTCATGACTAGTGCAGTTGTCATGACAAGTGCTGTTGTCATGACTAGTGCAGTTGTCATGACAAGTGCAGTTGTCATGACTAGTGCAGTTGTCATGACTAGTGCTGTTGTCATGACTAGTGCTGTTGTCATGACTAGTGCAGTTGTCATGACAAGTGCTGTTGTCACGACTAGTGCAGTTGTCATGACTAGTGCTGTTGTCATGACTAGTGCAGTTGTCATGACTAGTGCTGTTGTCATGACTAGTGCTGTTGTCATGACAAGTGCTGTTGTCATGACTAGTGCTGTTGTCATGACAAGTGCTGTTGTCATGACTAGTGCTGTTGTCATGACTAGTGCTGTTGTCATGACTAGTGCAGTTGTCATGACAAGTGCTGTTGTCATGACTAGTGCAGTTGTCATAAATAGTGCAGTTGTCATAAATAGTGCACTTGTCATGACTAGCGCAGTTGTCATGACAAGTGCTGTTGTCATGACTAGTGCAGTTGTCATGAGTAGTGTTGTTGTCATGACAAGTAATGTTGTCATTACAACTACTTTTTTCATGACTACTAATTTTGTCATGACAATTACTAGGATTACTACTGTTGTAGTAGTCACAACAACTTTAATTTCTGGGAACTAAACTTTATAAATAGAAATACTGACACTGTTGTCATGTTGTCATGACTTCTGCATGTTGGGGAAACTGACTCGTGGGATTTTATTATTTATTTTAATTATAATTAATAATAACTTTATTTAATTATTTATAATTTAATTATAATCGATTTATTGGTTTATTCATGTCAATAGCGGACTGTGTGACATTAAAGTGGACTGTATGATATTGAAGTGAACTGTAAGATATTATGAAGTTCTATGACTGTATGAAGTTGTGGGATTTAATTACATAGTCTATCAATCGAAATTAATGAACTAATAGAAATGTGTTAAAAGGGGTTAGTCCACAATGGTTAGTAAACAGAATACAAGCACAGCTTAGCTGTGCTTGTATCGACTTGAGAATGGTCCAGGACGGACCGAAACGTCGTCGTCCCTTCATCTTCTAGTGTGTGGTCTGGTCGACACAGCTTAGCTGTATTGTAGGATGTGGCCTGGTCAACCAGACTTCGAAAACTTAGATCAAGCAGACTGATTCTCCGTGTGGGCCAGACTATGGCGTCATCACATGTCACGTGTTGTTCCAAGAAGCGTTGCTAGTTTATTCAGGTCATTACAGGTTACCGGCCAGAATTAAACACTGTAACAAATGCAATAACATCCTAATTACAAATATGACATGACACTGATTATGGTTAAGTTATTATGAGACGCTTACCCATTTTTGGGTGGTCGCCTACCTCATAACCGGGTTGCAATTAACTATTATTATCAGGCCTACTTATGTAAAACATTAGTTCAAACTGGAAACAAGGTACTCAATGTAATTAGTAAGGTCGCTGCAGTAGATTGACTACAAGATGACTCTGAGTTTGTGAGTATTGACAGCGCTGCCTATTGTGCATCCTCACGGGAAGTTTTCTCAATTCGCAATGGCGCTCTCCCGCCTTCCTTGATCAAGTGACGTCACTAGAAATTGGTTTAATTTTCTGCCCATTTATAGACAAAGACGTTGATTTTATTTATTTATTATTTTATTAGATCCTGTCATAGAGAATACGTTTTTATTAATTGTAATCCCTAGACTGGTATCTTAACTGATAGATTAATTTTTATTGGTGTATATTCTGGTGAGATGGCAATAATGTCCTGTTTTTCTCGGGGAAAATTTCAAAATTCTAATATCCTATGAATGAATAAGTAAACTAATTATAGGATAATTTGTTAGTACAAAATCAGCAGCAATATTATCTGCATTTTGTATTGAAAGTTAGTAAATGGTGTCGATATTTCTGACATAGTTGCAGGTGGGTGGGAGAGGAGACAACCCATTCACCATGTTGACAGTACGGTTTAATACTAAATGTAATAAGTTAATTTCCTGACTGTTAAGAATAGTACATAATTACACTAATTGAATTGTTACATTTACTTCTCCATTTATTCTCCTTGTCTTCTGATAAGACACTCACTTCTGACAAGACACTCAAATCTGACACTTAGTGACACTAAGACACTTTAGAATGAAATTTTAAAGTTCAATTCTCTATAAACAAGTTTTAAATATCTGCAATTTTTTCCAGTTTTATTAAACAATAGAGATTTTATAAAAAAACTGAAAATATCCTGAGTTACTTTAACAATTTATTGGAATATTTTAATTTTGTTTGATTAGTTTTATGAAAAAGTAATATCAATATAGCTATAGGTTAAGTACTAATTGTAATTAAGAAACAATATATTGCTTGTCCTCATACATTAAGAAGGTTAGGTTAGGTCGTGGTTTTCTATTCAGCTTTTCAGGTAAACTCAAATATTTACAGTGTATTTACAGTACGGTTTAATACTAAGTGAAAATAAGTACAATTCCTGGCAGCTAGGAATAGTTCATAATTACACTCACTTGTGCTGTTACATTTACCTCTCCATATTCAGAGGATGGGGTGGAGGAGAACACGGGTCGGAGTCTACTATTAGGACTAACGAACACTGATACTCCTTTGAATTATTAGATTAATTGATATCTGTAGTTAAACATTTGTACATCAGTTTGTACAGGATGGATGGATGACCCGTACTAGAGATGCAGGGGTTGGAAGTCTCTTGGCAATTTAATTTTTCTGCTAACTCTTGTGATGCTAAGTTTCTAGCCTAATTATATTTGATTTAACCCTGATGACTAAAAGTAATCAATTACTAGTCAAGTATGATTCTGGGACTGCATAGGGATCAGTGATATTGGTCACAGTGACTTATAGTTTGTTTAGGCTACTGGTCACTGATTAGCCACTGAGGCCCCATGGAATACATAACATCTAATAATAATTGTATCAAAATCAGTCGTCGGATTTAAATAGTCAGCAATGCTCCATTGTGTTTATTTGCTGGAGATTATTTTTGCTGATATAATTAGTAATTTATTTTTCAGCTTCAGCTTCAGAGCTTCATGAGCTCATCTTCAGCTTTATATGATGATAATAAAATCAACCTTGGTTGATATAGTCAGCTGTATTTCCTAGTATTTTTACTGGAGTTGTATTCAGCTGACGAATTATAATTTATATTTGAAATAGCTGTACCCGGCCACGTGTTGCTGTGGCTCAGCAACGCATGTGCGTTGCTAGCTCCCCCGTCCTCTCGTCCTCCCTACCATTATCGTCCTCCCCATCACCCCCCACTTCCCTGTCCCCTTGGCCTTCCCCACCATCCACCACTCCCGTCCCCTCGTCCTCCACACCATTCCCCACTCCCTCGTTCGATGCATTCCCAAATGATCTGATGTTCCCATCACTGAAATATAAGAAAAACAAAAACGAAATGAAAATCAATGAAAAAAAATAACTATACTCACGAAATGAACGGTATGGTAAACACCAAAGCTCAATTCCAATGCAATGTCACTCAAAATAATTAAATCAAAATGAAAAAAATCAAAATATATGAAAATTCAATTCATCAATGAAATTGGAAACATTGAAATGGAATCAAAATATATTTCGTATAGCGTAAGTTGCTATTATGTGCAACAGCCCAACTACTTCGGCTGAACGGTAGAGCGACGGTCTCGCTTCATGCAGGTCGGCGTTCAATCCCCGACCATCCAAGTGGTTGGGCACTATTTCTTCCTCCCTTCCCTGTCCCATCCCAAATCCTTATTCTGATTTCTTTCCAGTGCTACATAGTCGTAATGTCTTGGTGCTTTCCCCTTCCTGATAGTTTCCTTCCCCTCTTACGTGCAACAGATGGTGCTGTTTTTTTTTTAAATCATGTTTTTACCAGTCACAGGTGTGGCATTTATACTTATACTCACGAAATGAACGGTATGCTAAACAACATAGCTCAGTTCCAACGCAATGTCACACAAAATAATTAAATCAAAATTAAAATAAATCAAAATGTATGAAAATTTAATTTGTCAATGCAATCGAAATCATTGAAATGGAATCGTACCATATTTAGAATAGCGTGTGTGACTCTTATGTGCAACAGATGGCGCTGTTTCTTAAAAAATAGAATGTTTTTACTTGTCACAGGTGTGGCATCTATACTTATACTTATGAAATGAATGGTATGGTAAAGAACACAGCTCAATGCCAACATAATTTCACACAAAATAATTAAATAAAAATTAAAGTAAATTCGTAATGTATTTAGTATAGCGTGTGTGTTGCTATTACATGCAACAGATGGCACTGTTTTTGAAAAAAAAGGTTTTTATCTGTCACAGGTGAGGCATGTTTATAGTAGGTATATAAAAACACGTGTATATTCGAATGGAATGTTGTGTCAGGGAGATTACAGCGTGTGTTGCTTTTACGTCAAATAGATGGCACTGTTTAAAAAAAAAAAAAATGTTTTTTCCTGTCACAAGTGAGGCATGTATATTGTAGGTATATAAAATCACGCGCCTATTTGAATGCAACGTCGTTTCAAAATTTCAAAGCAATCGTTAAAGGGGGTTTCCAAGATTTCTCTCACATGAAAAACACAATATTTGAAAAAAGCACGTTTTTTCCCGTCACAGACGTGACATCAATATAGTATATATATAAAACCCCACTCGGATGCAAATGGAACATTGTGTTAAAATTTCAAAGCAATCGGTTAAGAACTTTCGGAGATTAGAGATTTTGAACAAATGAACATTTCCATTTTTATTTATATAGATTGCTTGTTTGCGGGCATAGGCTTCCTCAAGGCTTAATTCTGGACCTGTGAGTATCTTGCCTCCCACAGAATTTAACAGGTAAATTTCCTGATATTTAGTCTGCTAATGAAGAATTTGTTATAGAAGTCACCACCCACAAGGATTCCTATGTCGGTAAGGTGTGTTGGAAATAACCAACAGATTATTTTCCTCTAACTCCTAATATTAATATTAACTAATAACACTAACACGTAGAATTAACAGCGTTAGCGTTTCCATAGTAAGGCATAATTTAGCCAGAAATTTCCCAGCCATCATGACGCCAAGCGTCGATATCAGGTTTTAACATAAAGTTTCCCACACATGTTGGAGATATATATATAGAGTTCAGTTAATTACTTTTTCTTACTAAAATTATTGTTCATTATGAAAGAAATAATCATTTCGCATGCTTATGCGTACTGAGCTCGACTATTTAACTAAATTAATTATTCCAGCAAAATATTACTGTGGCGTAAAATAAATGCACGTCAACCTTTCTCGTTCAATTGTGCAGTGTTAATTAAACCAATCGCCTTACGAGAACAGGTCTTATTATCCAATATATTTATTGGTGATGATAGTTTAAATTATGCTCCTTCGTTTCCCCCAAATAATAAGCTATGAGCGTCTCTGCGCATGCGTGATCGGGCGCGGGAGCAGGAGGAAGGAGTTCTTTCAAGCATAGGGCTCCGCGAGGTGTTCACGTGACTCTACAGGTGACAGCCATTACATCAAGAACACGTGGTCATACAGTGCTAGAAACTGTTCAATTGTCACGTCCCGCAATTACTCGTCCACAGCAGTGAACTTCAGGGACTGGCAGACGTGATACCGGCAGGCCTTAGTGTCTCAACACGCCTACGTTAATTAAGTATACATTGTAGTTTGATGCATCACTCTATAGTATATTTCCGTGGGTAGCCTGTCGTTAAGATATACGCAGACCACAAATACAATGTTAGTTTCATTCAACTTTAGTTTCCAATTCCAGTGAATATTGGAATAATTTTCTAGCCTAGTCAAATGTTACTCAAATTTCCCTGATTACAGCGTGTAGGCGAGGACGAACCAAGTATTTCTTCCTTCACCTACGATGTTCACCACTGGTGTTTCTTCCTTATTTGGATGTTGTGATCAAGACTACGAGTAGTGAAACGGGTTTAGTGCAGTCGTCTCACAGCTAAGACATAAATCACGTTTCGTAGAATATTTGATTATTACCATTATTATTTTTAATAAGTGTTTTTCATGCATATAATGTTCAAGATGAGTAATATAAGTCAATAATTTACTGCTCAGTACTCAATAAGTTTGCATTCATTATTTCCTAGGATTTAGTAATATTTCATAGAATTGATCATTTATTATTTCATAATTTTTTAGAATCTACATTCAAATCAAGATTCAATAACCTTTACTAACCTCATTAATGAACTAGTGACGAACCACACTGGTTCCTAGATATATATGAATTTCTAGTAATATCCCCCAATGCTGATGTTTGAGGCTTTTAACACTCAATTAATTATTATTACATTCCATTCATTCTCTTTAAATAACTGTTAAATAATCTAACATACATAGGCACTGGTTCTACAGTGTCAGTCTTATAATCCCTTTATTTGTTTTCCCTCTTCTCTCAAAAGGGGATGGTCCTTCGAGTATATTAATTCTCTTAATTAAATATTCTTATATTTGAGTTAAAGTTCCAGATACCCAACAAGGTGATCAGACTTAATTTTGTTTGCCAGTTTTATTCCTATATTTCTCAGGAATTTGGCAGTGGCTCCTAGACCTTGTACTTGAAGGGCCTTTGGAATGGTATCTAGAACGATGGCTTTTACTTGATGGACATTGATGTCTAAATGTACGTATGATTGCACCACCTGGTAGACTTGAGGTTCTGTACCAGCCAGGAAGCCCAATATATTTAATTCCACCTGGGTTACAGACTTTAATTGTAGATCATCTGCCACCTTTTGAGTGACAAACGTTCTCTGGAACCCTTCGTCAAATAACCCACGTGTTTGGACCTTGGCCCTCTTAGTTTTGATGGTAAGTTAAGCAGAAGGCAGTCACATTATTTTTGGACTTTGTCTATAGGACTCAGATTTTCTGCCCACCTTGCAGTACTGTTCTTAATTTTTTTTATTTTTCCCCGAGGGGCGAGTTTATTGGGCAGCGCCACTCATCTTGTGAGTGGACATACCGCCATAGCTGCATGTACAACACTCCCCAATAGGAAGAAAACCCGCTGGGTTGTTCATCCTGTCACTTGTACCCAGACACAGCTGGGACTTACTTAACTGTCTCAAGTGAACACCTCCTCAAACAAGAAGATTAACATCTGTCAACCCTTAAAAGCTTACGTTATCTTGCGCATGCAAAATGGGGGAATCTTTTAAGAACAGTATCAATATTTGACAAATAGTGTTTTCCTAACTCAAACAATGTGGGGTTTATTATTCTACACATATTTCTAATGTCTCTCAGGTGTTCACATTTACGTAGATAGTGATCAAGGCGGTGTCCGTCACTCTCATCACAAATTCTGCAACTTTGCTGATCAACAGTCGATTCCATTCCGTATCTCCATGGATATTTGAATCCCAGACGGATTCTCACTATTACTGATTCTCTCCCGCGTCCTCCTCCTATTCGTCCATAATGATTTGGATTGCCAGCTGCAACCATGTTGTACCAGCGTACAGATTCACTGGTTTGTGCCTCTATCCTCCTTTCCACAGTTACCTTGTCACGGTGATGTTGGCTGACAATACTCTAATTTGTAGTAGAGTCTTGGGTATGAAGCATTCAATATGGTCTCCTTCAGCAGCCAGCACATCTGCTCGTTCATTCCCACATATTCCAACATGGGAGGGGATCCACAGAAACTAGACATCTCTTCCCTGATTGGTAAGTACTCTCACAGCTCTCTTAATTTCAGCGATTATTGCAAGATTTTCTGTCCGATTTTTACTTAGGCTTTGCAGTGCTGCTTTTGAATCAGAGCAAATCACTGCACCATTAGTGTTCTGTTCAAGAAACCTTAACGCCATAACATTGGCAGTTAGCTCTGCTTGCGTTGAAGTGGCATAGTTCTCAATACGCGCTTTTTCTTCATTTCTACATTGGAAAGTATTATCCTTGATTATCGTGTATGCTGCACCAGCCCTGTCATTGACAGGATTAGATGACCCGTCAGTGTAGATTTGATGTAGTTCATCTCTGGCTTCTTTATAAATTTCCTGAGATACTTGTGCCTCATTTCTTGTGGTAACATGTTGGATTTTATTGTTGCCATTTCATTGATGATAATCTTGCATGAGTCATCCTCCCAGGAAGGTAACCTCTCTACAGGCAGAAGCTCACAGGCTTGCTCAAGCAGGTGAAGTTCTAGGTAGCAGACTGATCTATGATGCCATTTTTTGCTTCTCCTGTTTCCACCTGAAAGTTGCACAGAACTGTTTTTTCTTTGCAATATCACTGTCATGGGGATTTCTGGCTATCCTAATTGCAAGCTTAGCATTCAGCTCCTTAATTCTGCTTTTAACACTGGGAAGGGACAACTCCTCTCGTAGATTAAACGTTTTGGCAGTTCTTGGAACTCCAAGAATGATTGGCATGGCTTCATTTTGAGTGCTTTCAAGCCCTTTCATATCGCTTTGGGAGTAGGTGCACAGAACTGGTGCGGCATAGTCTATGACGGAGCACACATAGGCTGTGTACATCATTTTAAGCACGGCAATAGAGGCTCCATGTCCATCCCAGGTCATAGCTTTCAGTGCGCTGAGTTGACTTTTGCATGATGCTATGAGTTGGTTGAGCTCCTCTTTCTTCCCCTTGTTAGAGCCGACAGTGACGCCAAGGTACTGATAGTGGTCAACCCATTCAAGTGTTACACTATTAATTTGCAGTTCTTCATTTGCTCTCCGCTTGTGATGGGAGTATGCCTTCGTCTTGTTTGTGAAGAGAGTGAAACCGAGCTCAATACATTTCCTTCCAAGGAGTTCAATGGCCTGTTTAGTTTTTCCCAAGGAGGAAGCCTGTATTAGGACATCATCTGCATATCCCACTTGTTATGTTCCTTCCGGAAAATCAATATTTGCAATGGCCTTCATAAGTACATTGAATAGTGTAGGGCTTAAGACTCCACCTTGGGGGGTCCCGAGTTCCATATTCATTGTTCTGGACACTGCTCCATTGAACCTTGGCTTTCCTCCCTGTGAGGTAGTCTTCAAACCCATTTCATGAGACTTCCCTTGACACCTATACATGCAAGCTCGTCCAGGATCGCAATCCCCTGCGCTTTGCCGAAGGCTCCTTTGATGTCGACAAATACAGAATACCTAGCAGTTTCATTAGCCAAGTAATTAACTATACAATTTGCTTTGCTCCGTCCTTTAACAAATCTATTGACCCCCTCCTCTAACCTGCCTATTTTGTGCAACAGTCGGTTTAGGATGATCCTTTCAAGCATCTTGCAAGTGCATGACACGAGACCGATAGGTCTGTTACTACCAGGGTCATTGGTCTTCGGTATGGGAATAATTATTGCGTGTTTCCATTGTGTGGGCAACACTCCACTTAGGAATGACTTGTTAAACAGATGGAGTAGTGGATTCCCAGACACTTCACACAGTGCATTGAGTGTGACGTAGGTGATGCCATCTTCACCAGGTGCTGTACTTTTACCCTTTTTCATAGCGCCCCTTACTTCCTAAGCTGTGATCGGTTCCCCATATTGGTCATCACTTGACAGTGCTCTTGTTATCCTAATTATTCTGTTATCATATCACAACGATTGAGGAATTCACAGAACAGATGCACAAAATAGAGAACATACTTGACAACCTAGCAAACCCAGCTCCAGATATTATCTTTCTTGGAGATTTCAATTTACCGAGTCTAAGATGGAGAACGGCAAACACAAATATCATAGCAGGGAATGACCCGGGAAATAACCAACCACAGGTTAGAGAACTTTTGAGATTCTGTGACAAATTCTCGCTCAATCAACAGATTACAGAACCAACTAGGAACGAAAACACACTAGACTTGTTATTCACAAACAATGATGAACTAATCAGGGATATCACAATCTCAGATACTTCATACTCAGACCATAAGCTCATTGAAGTGCGAACTAGCATAAATAACGGTAGTAGGTCTAAGAGACCCAACAAGCGAGAAGGAATATTCAATCAATTCAATTTCAACAATAAGAGGATTGACTGGGAAAAAATAAATGTAGACCTTGCAACCATTCAATGGGAGACGGTCTTAAGCGACAAAACTCCCACACAGGGAATAGCTCAACTGACAGCTGAAGCTTACAAGGTCTGCTTGAAGCACGTACCTGTGAGGAGGGGCAGAAAGAGGACCACTCTAGAAAGAGAACGGAGACGACTGTACAGGAGAAGGAAAAAAATAACGGAAATGCTTCGGCAGACACAACTATCACAAGCAAGGAAAACAAGCCTAAGCAGGGAGATTGAGGAAATAGAACAAACGTTGAAGCGATCATATGAGTCTGAGGAAATGGAATTGGAACAGAAAGCTATACAAGAGATAAGGAAAAATCCGAAATATTTTTTCACATACGCAAAATCAAAATCCAAAACCTCGACCAGTATTGGACCGTTAATTACAAATGAAGGTACGTACACAGAGGACAACAAAGAGATTAGTGAAATTCTAAGAAGCCAGTATGAGGCTATGTTTAGCACACCAATAAACAACATGAAAGTTGATGACCCAGACAGCTTCTTTATGAATGACATTCAAGCTGCAGATAATATAACGGATATTACCACAAACTCGGAAGACTTTGAAAGAGAAATTGATAATATGCCTATGCACTCAGCTCCTGGGCCTGACTCATGGAATTCAATATTCATAAAGAAATGTAAAGTACCAGTAGCGAGAGCACTCAGCGTAATATGGAGAAAGAGCCTGGATACAGGGGAGATACCAGCAGCACTTAAATCTGCAGATATAGCTCCGTTGCACAAGGGGGGGAGTAAAGCCTTGGCAAAAAATTATAGGCCAGTTGCACTAACATCACACATAATAAAAGTGTTTGAAAGAGTGATTAGGAATCAAATTTCTAGTTTTATGGAAAACAATGAATTGCACAATCCAGGACAACATGGATTTAGAGCGGGAAGATCCTGTCTGTCACAGTTACTCAACCACTATGACAAAATCACAGAAGCCCTAGAAGAAAAGCAAAATGCAGATGTTGTATACACAGACTTTGCAAAGGCGTTCGACAAATGTGACCATGGGGTGATAGCTCACAAAATGAGGTCAATGGGAATAACTGGAAAAGTAGGACGCTGGATACTCAATTTCCTGTCGAACAGAACACAAAGAGTAACAGTCAATCAGATAAAATCGAGTCCAAGCGATGTTAAAAGCTCTGTACCTCAAGGTACAGTCCTTGCACCGCTACTGTTCCTTATTCTCATATCTGATATAGACAAAAATACACGCCACAGCTTCGTGTCGTCCTTTGCAGATGACACAAAAATCAGCATGAAAATTACCTCTGCTGAAGACATTGAAAAACTACAAGCAGATGTCAACAAAGTTTTTGATTGGGCAGCAGAAAATAACATGATGTTTAACAGTGATAAATTTCAGGTACTCAGGTACGGCAAAAATGAGGATCTGAAACATAATACAGGGTACAAAACACAATCGAATCTTCCCATAGTAGGAAAACAGCATGTCAAGGATTTGGGAATAATGATGTCCGACGATCTAACGTTTAGGGAGCATAACCAAGCAAATATCGCGTCAGCCAGAAAAATGATCGGATGGATTACGAGAACTTTCAAATCCAGGGATCCCATCACAATGGTTGTACTCTTCAAGTCACTTGTGCTGTCCCGTCTCGAGTACTGCTCAGTACTCACTTCCCCCTTCAGAGCAGGAGAGATTGCTGAAATAGAGGGAATACAGAGAACATATACGGCACGCATAGACGAGATAAAACACCTAAATTATTGGGATCGTCTCAAAGCTCTCCAAATGTACTCTCTAGAAAGGAGACGAGAGAGATACCAAATAATATACACCTGGAAAATACTGGAGGGTCAGGTCCCAAATCTACACAGTAAAATAACAACGTACTGGAGTGAACGATATGGAAGAAAATGCAAGATTGAACCTGTGAAGAGCAGAGGTGTCATAGGCACAATCAGAGAGCACTGTATAAACATCAGGGGTCCGCGGTTGTTCAACGTCCTCCCAGCGAGCATAAGAAATATTGCCGGAACAACCGTGGACATCTTCAAGAGAAAACTGGACGGTTTTCTAAGAGAAGTTCCGGATCAGCCGGGCTGTGGTGGGTACGTGGCCCTGCGGGCCGCTCCAAGCAACAGCCTGGTGGACCAAACTCTCACAAGTCGAGCCTGTCCTCGGGCCGGGCTTGGGGAGTAGAAGAACTCCCAGAACCCCATCAACCAGGTATCAACCAGGCAGGAGCTGTTCCCTGCTGATTTCTGCAGGGAGGGAGGAGGAGGATGCTGCATCACTCCACTTGTGAATTAGTTCTTCAGCCTTACCCTGGGGGTCTTTGTGAGCCGCAGGCTGTTCTCTGCCCCCCTTAGCTATCTGAATTTTTGCTCACACTTGTCTTGCAGATGTTTCCCGTTCAATAGAGCTAGTGAACTCAAGCCATTGTCTTTCCCGCTCTTTAATCTTCTCTTCCCTGGCTACTTGACACACAGTTTTAAACAGCTCTTGGTTACTTTCAGTGGGATGTCTCCGGTACTCTCTACTCATGTTCCTTACATTTGCGTTAAGCATCTTTATGTAATCGTTCTCATAGTATTTTATTTTCTTTCTCTGAGGGTTACTTCGCCCAGGCGTACGGCGCGGAGCTCTGAGACAGCTCTCAATTTGTTGATTAAGGTCATCAACAAATGTATCAATGTCTTCTGGGATTTGGTATTCCGTGAACCAGTCACTCATCCTATTTATGAAGTGCGGCCTCATATCTGGTCCGAGTGATAACCTTTTTCTTTTATTTGTCTCTTTCCTTTTCTTGCTCATGTCGATGGTGGTAATCAGTGCCCAGTGGTCACTACATAAACTGTGCACAATGTGTGTACTGGCATCCGTGTCCTGTGCATTGAGCAGGAGAGCATAGTCCAATCTTTCTCCTCTAAGGTGAGTTGGCTGTTCATCACCCAGGACTCTAAGGTTTTCACACACCCCTGACATAGAGTGACAGTTTCCGTCTATTGACATTGGGATGATGACAGTTGGCACCAAAGTGTTGTTGCCTGGCATTAAGGTCACCGACCAGCAGGGTAGGTTCTTCATTAACAATTTCAGGTAGTGTGTCAAGGTCAAGTTTACTCTGTGGCACATATAGGTTGATTATATGTAGGGCATTATTGTTTAAGTGAAGGGTTACCCCCAGCTTCATAGTCATCCTCCATGTGAAGATCATCAATAATCTGTGCAGGTATGTTGTTGCTGACATAGGTAATAAGACCCCGTTTCCCGTCCCCAGAGTGCAGGGAAAACTTTCGATAGCCGCTGAACCTTGGGTTGAAGTCCTTACCCACCAGTGTCTCCTGTAGCACTATGACGTCAGTTTGGTGTTCACAACTGTATTGTATGATGTCATTAAGTCTACCGCGAACACCATTGCAGTTCCATTGTAGGATAGTGAGACTTTCTTCGCCGTGGTTATCCATCGTGGAGGTGTTGGTCATCAGATGTGCTGTGTGCGGTGTTGTTGTTGCTGGTGAGAGTGTGTGCACTGGTGGTGTTGTATGTGGTGTTGCACCACCGTCATGTGCTGGTGGTACTGTTTGTATGGGTGTCAGTGGTCAATGGTGTTGTGTATTCTAGTGTCGTTGTGTTCACTGGTGTTGATGTGTTCACTAGTGGTGTTGCCTTCACTGGTGTTGATGTGCTCACTAGAGGTGTTGCGTTCACTGGTGTTGATGTGTTCACTGGGCCAACGATAGCACTGAGTTTGCTGTTATGTGCCGTGGCTCGTGTTGCATCCTCATACACCAAGTTGCAACCTACTGAACTCGCCTGAGACAAGTTCAGACCCTGCAGAATTTGAAGTATATCCTCCTGGGTCTTCTGGATCGTACATAAGATATTCTCAAGATTATTTTGCTTGGTCATTAATTCTTGCATGAGTGGATGATTTTTTATCACGTTGGTAATCATCATTGCTTCCATATCGGGCGGCATTGTTTTACCTGGACCCAGTAAAGTGTTGGCTGGTGAGTGAGGAGGAGGGGAAGTGGTAGGTTGGGAGGGAGAGAGGGTCGCCTGAGAGGCAGAAGAGCTGGTAAACTGGGAGGCGTTAGGGGGTATGGGTGATGAGGCAGGAATGGGGTTGTTGGGTGGGGGTAGGGTTTGTGTTAGTGAGTGAGATAGGGTTGGGATAGAGGTAAGTGGGTTTGTGACAGGAAGGGGGTTTGGTTGGGTCTGTGTGGGGTGGTGGTGGGTCACTCCACCACTACCCCAGGCTGTTGTCTGCCTACTGTAGGCTGGACCTTGGTTTGCTGTGGTACTGTTCACGGAGCCATTCCCGCCTCTGTTCACTGGTCCACCTGTTGTTTGCGGCGGTGTCCTTCTCAAGCCCTGCCAGTCAGGCCTCTTGCTGCAATACCTGTTCCAAGCATGATGGGGCTGCTTGCAGTTGACACATCTAGGTATTACCCTGCCACCCGCACCCGGTTTAAGCTGGGCATGGTCACTACTTGATTGACCATGTAAGGTATCATTTATACAATGTATGTATGTGATGTAACTATATAACCTGAGCTTGTAAAAGCACCTTAATCACCTTCAGTGATTAAGTGCTTAATTGCACACTAGTTTCTCTGTCAGCTATCTCACCCTGTCAGAGTAAAAGAGACAAATGTATGTGAATGCATGTGTGTGTGTATATATATGCATGTATATATGTATAAGTACGTATATATGTGTCTGTATGTATATGTATGTGTATAAAGTACATATGGAAGCTGATCAGAATTGCATTTCACCTTTGTAAATGCGCATTAATGACACTTCGAACACTTTATGTAGGGCATACGTAAATCTGTGTATCTATGTATTTACGTATGTAGGTTAGCTTAGCATTTTAAAAGTACCGAATCACCTTCTGTGGTTGATTGTTCAATAAATCCCTGAACTATATGTTTAACTGATCTCTAACCCTGTCTATGGAGGACAGAAGAAAATGTATATATGCTGGTTAGCATTGTAAATGTCCGGCCACGTCTGTGGTAGAAAATAATAATAATAAAAAAAAAACTACTTGGTGTCGTGAGAGCCACTGCAACACCCACACCTAATTGGGCGATCACATTGCCACGTTCTGTGATGCCACCGTTGACAGTTGCCACATATGGACGGGCTGTCAATATACCTCTCCACTTTGCACGCCCTCATGCCTGGTAATTTAATGACTGGGGGCAGGTCTCCCTTCCACATAGCAATTGCTTGATTTTTGAGCAGTCCCCCTGGTCCAGTGTTGCGCTCGACCCACACAATCTGATCATAGTCCTGGAGATATTCCACGTCAACATGAATACTATAGTTCTTGATTATAATTTTAGTTTGTCTTGTCTGTGGGTTTGCTTCCAACAATTTAACATCTTTACCTTGATACTCAAGACTGGTCTCTGTGAAGTACTTCAGGGCACTGTAACCCTGCACTCGTGCGCTGACACACCTGTTCTCTATGCGATACTCTGCTCTGTGGGCGCGGGTGGCCTTAATAATCCATCTGTACTTCTCTGCTGCTATCAATCTCATTGCAGGAAAGATTAGGGTGTGCCACTCACTATCTTCATCTTGTCGTTGTTGTTGTTGTTGTTGATGTTGCTGCTGCTGTTGCTGCTCACCCTGTCGCTGTAACCTGTCCCGTTTCATGATGTTTCTGCCTTGGACTAGTTGGAAGTTAGCATCATCCTCTGTTGTAGAGTGACCTGTACCATTACTGTTGGAGGGCCCCGGGTTGGGATCCTCACTGGAGGACCCCGGGTGGGGATCCTCACTGGAGGGGCCCCGGGTGGGGATCTGCACCTGTGCTGCAGTTCATTTCATGTTATTGGGTGGTATATCATCAACACTGCACTCTACCCTGCACACACACACATGCACATATAGACACTTGCAAGGCACTAAGGGTCACAGTTCTCACATGTAGTGTACAATATGATACTTAATAATAGATAAAATGTATAAAAATATACACAAAAGAATTAACATGTAATGCAGAACATGTAGCAATAAGGCATCAAGAATTTAAAACAAATTAACTTCCTGTAAATGTGCAAATAACCAAAAAGCACTGTGGAAAGAATTCAAGATTATTCTGTAATGTTATAGCAACTGCTGTAATTAGCTTATTATAAACTTATAAAGTATTATAAACACAGGTACTGTAACATTTAATATAAAATACTGAAAGAAAACTTCAGATTAAGGTCTGGGGAAAACATATAAATTGCCTATAATGCACTTCACTTGCTGAAAAACAATTATTATTTCTACTTAATGCACTGCACCCGAATGTATTTGGAATCACTTAACATATTACTAATAAACAACGGAACTTGTAGCACCAAACACCACAAAGAAGGAACTAAGAGTGAAGAATGGGCAGCTAATTCCTCTTATCAAGTCACTGGAGGAAGGAATATTTGATATACAGGGTTATTTCCTTATGAAATCGCAATTATTGTATAGCACAGTGAGTACCAGCAATAGTTAACTTAGCTCCGGGCTGTGGTGTACTCAGAACAACTTTGACCAACGTGAAGAACGACGACGAGGAGTCGTGTGGAGGGGGAAGGGGGGTGAGTGGCGGCGTTGTTAACATCCGGAGGCGATCCTAGCGGCGGTTTCCTGAAGCTGGGCAGACGTCATGAACTGCTGTGACGTCATGGGAGGACGAGGATTGTTTAAACGAAGAGTACAGATGAATGTTGAAATGTAGAAAATACTCCATCCAGTGAGCAGTACAGTGCAGCAAATGCTGGAGTTGACACTTGGCGGGGATGACAGTAGCTAGGGAGCACCAACGAAAATCATCTGGGCGAGTAGGCTGCAGCGACACTGGACGTTTGAAATTCAAAATGGCTAGGGGAAGCTGGCATCTCCTCCTCCCTGGATGAAGTAATGTTCTTGTTGGAAATAACTGCCTTACTTGGAGACGTTGTCCTAGTGCAATAGTTGATGGTAGGACCCTGGACTGGTAAGAATATCGATGAAAACAAGTGTAGCTGTGGCAGGTGGCTTGAGCTTGCTAAGGCGTCGTGAGAGGCACACGAGGGGAGGTTCTGCTTGAAAGATATCCCTCCCAGCACACCAGTATTGTGCGTTCCTCTTTCCTTTTTGTTTGTATTGTTACTTCCTTTTGTGTAAGTCTTGCTTAGGGTCTTGGAGTAACACACATGTACTTCTTGGTATTATTACTTGAAGTAGAATAAATATCAGCACCCAAGGTCCTGTACGTCCTGCCTCTAGCTAGGTCTGAGAGAAGCTGACAAAGTCATTGTTTATCCGGATATCTGGTCAAATCGCACTGCTCACCACTTTAAAACCTAGGTGAAAGCTTCCAGTAACTAGATCACTGCTAGGTTGTGGACTCCTTAGAGCCGCCAGTACCCAGTTTGAAGTAAATCCATGTGGGAGGTAGGCCTACACGTCTACCTCGCACCAGGGTAGCGACGGAAGGAGGATTGGACTATGCTCTCCTGCTGAATGCACAGGACACGGATGCCAGTACACGCATTGTGCACAGTTTATGTAGTGACCACTGGGCACTGATTACCACCGTCGACATGAGCAAGAGAAAGAAAGAGACAAATAAAAGAAAAAAGTTAACACTCGGACCAGTTATGAGGCCGCACTTCATAAACAGGATGAGTGACTGGTTCTTGGAATACCAAATCCCAGAAGACATTGATACATTTGTTGATGACCTTAATCACCAAATTGAGAGCTGTCTCAGAGTTCTGCGCCGTACGACTGGGCGAAGTAACCCACAGAGAAAGAAAATAAAATGGTATGAAAACGATAACATAAAGATGCTTAACGTAAATGTAGAACTGCAAACGAACAGCAGTTCGTTTGCAGTTCTAGTTGAACGGACTGCAAATTCGAGAGTTTGCAGTCCGGAATCTTTTGATGAAGAAATAACGAATATATTTGAAATTAGGAAGAAGCTAAAATACCCATAATCGATCTTGGATCTTGCGTTTGGATCAAGCAAAAAGGACGTTCTACAAACAGACTAATATATATATATATATATATATATATATATATATATATATATATATATATATATATATATATATATATATATATATATATATATATATATATATATATTATATGTTCCTTAATGGAGCCCTGTTGCTTATGCATAAGCAACAGGGCTCCATTAAGGAACATATAATCTCTTCCCACAAACAAACCATCACCAGAGAAATCTTAGCAAACAACACAGAAATCATCGATAGATACAGCGAAAGCAGGCGGCTTGACGTCTGCGAGGCACTACACATCAAGAAGTCAACACCAGCAATCAACAGCCAATTAATGCACAACTATATTCTACCCACTTCAAGACTCCGCTCCAATATAGAAGCATCAAGAAATATGGACCAATAGGCTTTCTACAATTACTTCCATTGAATACCTATTGTTTCGTGTTCTGTTTTGTGTTAGAATTTAATACCCATTGTTGAAAGTTCGTTTTCACCTCATCCACCTCACCCAAATGTAGATATAAACTCGAAGATGTGCAAAGCTCTATTCAGTTTCAGTTGTGTGTTTGTAAACTAAAGTCTTTGAAAATGTAATAAGTTTTACGAAACGCGCTCGTGTCGCGTCAGACTAGAAATAAAAATGTATATATATATATATATATATATATATAATATATATATATATATATATATATATATATATTTTATATATATATATATATATATATATGTCGTACCTAGTAGCCAGAACGCACTTCTCAGCCTACTATGCAAGGCCCGCTTTGCCTAATAAGCCAAGTTTTCATGAATTAATTATTTTTTTCGGCTACCTAACCTACCTAACCTAACCTAACCTAACTTTTTCGGCTACCTAACCTAACCTAACCTATAAAGATAGGTTAGGTTAGGTTAGGTAGGGTTGGTTAGGTTCGGTCATATATCTACGTTAATTTTAAC